AAGTATAATAAATATTTTGAATACTATTTAAATAATTATTGTTACTGTAATCTAGTTAATGTATACTATTTAAATAAATGTTGTTACTATATAAATTAGAAATTTACAAACGTTACCATCCATTTTATTTTTAAGATACCTAATTTTTTTTCCTTTGTTTTAATTTCAATTTTTTTTCCTTTGTTTTACTAAGAGTTTGGTGCTAAAACTGGATAATAATTTCTTATAAATATGTCATCGTGATAATTCAAGGAGTTTAATGTGTTATCCTTGTGATTAATCTAATGTCCAACATCTGTTACTTGTCAATAATCTAACTTGCAGAAATTTATAATTTGATGTTTAACATAACATTGTATATTCATATGAATTTTTGAAAAAACAAATAAATCGTCAAGTAAAAGATGAATTTTTTTTTTCATAAAATCAGCAAGAACATGAAGAACATAACAAGAAAGAGAAGAGAGACAAAATTGAAATGGTTAAAATCAAAATTTGAAATGCACCAATTTTTAGCCAAAGATAATAGGCGATGAATTAGTTATGAAATATAATAAACATTATATATATATAAAATAAAAATTAAAAAATTACAGAAAAAATCTGGAACCAAAAAAAAAAAATTGAATTTGAAGTTGAGAACATGAAGGACAAGAAGAGAGAGAAGGGAGAAAAACTAGACCAAAAAATAATCGGCCAAAAAAAATGAGAGAGGAGAGAATGGGGTGGTTGGGAACGTGGGGGGACATTGATTGTGCATTGAAAATACAAAACTGATTTAAAATAATTTGAAAATTTGATTTGAAATTTGAATGAAATAATAAAATATATTATGTCTGAAGCCTAAAACTAATACCAATTACAGATTATCACGTTATCGGTTTATACATGGCCCACATAAACCACCTGGTTTATGTGTAGCCTTTGCGCAACACATACTCACATAGGCTTAACTGTATTTCTTGAAAATCAAAAACTCAACCACTCATTATCTACTAAACCCGCGTGTAACATTTATAAGCAAATCTAGTAATAATACGATACTCCAATTTATATATTTTTATATATATGTATATATTTTATATATATACACCCTTTTGATTTTCTGGGTGTATTTTGTAGGAGCTAAGTTTACTTGTAGTATTATTCTAACAAGTGTTCAACAATGTCAGTAAATTGTTGCTTTCTCCCCAATACCTCTAATCCAAGAACACCCATTTCTTTTCTCAGACAAAACAGGAAAAAACCTAATCTGGGTCATTTTCATTTCCCTCTAAATTCCTCCTATTCTCCCCCTAAATTCACTTGTCAACTTAGCATTGGTTTTGATGATATTCTAACAATCACCCAAAATAAGGTAATGGGTATTCTTCTTTTTCATGTTTTTTTGGGATTTTTCTTATTCATTTTGGAGGGTTCTTTACGTTTTCTGATTAAAATTTGGTTTTTTTTTTTTTTTTTTTTTTTTTTTTGGGAAAGGTTTTGATTGCAGCAGGTGTATCAGCAGCAATTGGGCAATTAGCAAAGCCATTTACATCAGTTTTGCTGTATGGCAAAAGTTTTGATATAAAAGCTGTTATTCAAGCTGGTGGATTTCCTTCTACTCATTCTTCTGTGAGCACACACTTTCAGTTAGTTGTTTTATGCTGTTGTTTGACTTTGATTCTGATAATTGGTTTTTATGATGTGTTTGATTTTCTGAACAGAACCCTTCAAATTAAACTTACATCGAATTCGGCGAATTTGGTTGGTTAAATGGAGTTTTATTAGTGGTATTCATTTGTTTCCTTGGTCGTGTGTGATGTACTTACTTCACTCTCTTATCTTCTATCCATGGGTATTCCTTTCAACCAGATAAGATGGTTAGTGTTAATCATTTACACCCTGGCCTCAATTCGATGTCCTATTGCCTTAATTTCAAGTTATTTGACCACTTAACTAACTTTATTTCATGTTAATGTAAATTTGTAATCACTTGATATATTAACGTATTATTAACTTGAGCAGTTTAAATATGAACACAATATAACTTATTAGTCTTGAATTCCAATGCAATAGCCAACTCTATGTATATGTATAACCTTATACTTCACTATTAGTTTGAAATAGAGGTGGTATATTCTTTTCGGAGGAATAGGAAGAGGGGTATGAGGACTTAAAACATGTATACCAAGAAAATTTGCAAAGGAAGTGCTAGCAATATGAAGAAAAATAATGAGATAGATTTTCCAGCGTTGTAAGATGAGCATAAAATCTGACTATAGCAAGATTTGTTGCAAGTAAAACCCTATCTTGTTCCCTGTTCGCTATATAAGTTGCTTTTTAACTCCCAAAAATTTCATAGTATTATAAGACAGGAATCATATCATCAAATGTTATTTTATCATAATATATACTCTACCTATACAGTGAGTCCAGCAAGAGAGAGGAGTTAGAGCTTGAGAGGGGTATTGTTCAAGTCTATATGGATGGTTATAAAGAAAACCCTGTCCCCTGTTGTGCTCACCATTTAGGTTTTGCATCATCCTCTTCATTAAATGCAAGGTGGGCACTATATAAGATCCTCAGTGTTTTAAGTTGTGGGAAATGAACCAAATGATACATGGCCATTGATGTACCTTCTTGTTTTATGTCATATTGTGAAATCCCAATGATTATATTTAAATCATACATTTCCCAGATTTGAAAGTTTGCACATACTTGGGCAGTTCATAGATAAAAGATCTTAAAATTAATGCCTTTAAAAAGTTTTTACGTTAAAAAATATATGAGAGCGTATACAAAGTGTTGTGCACTGCTTATTCTAGCATAACACCGCTCCTCAATTTCCCAATAATAGCCTCTAATGTGAATCTTCTTATCTATAAAACTAAATAGTTTATTCTGTGTCCAAAAAAAATAAGAAAATGAATATAACTAAATAGTTATATACTTAAATGTAGCATACCAGGTTTGTCAAGACGGTAATTTTGGTGTTTGACATAAATTTGTGCGACTGCTTTCACGTCCTTCATATGAAGGGTATTTTTGTAAGCTTATGTAAAGGAAAATAGGACTGCTTTTATTGAAATATTTCATTTCAGCATGCTTAATGTGAAGCAAGTGAAAGTGCTTTCTGTATAGTCCTTCTGTGATGTGGTACTTTCTTTTCTGATCTGAGATTTGAGAAAACAGGGTTTATGTGTCAATATGTTTTGGCATACCCATGTTTGAAGTAGTCTCCCTTGTGTTTAGTAATAGAATGTCACTATATGGAATACTACCTTTGATTGTAGTTTGGGAGATTGGGTTTTTGTAAGCTGATCTTTTTGCATTTCTTAGGTCTTCTGTTTTTCCAATTGACAGGCAGTTGTGGCTGCAGCGACATCTCTGGCACTTGATAGGTTAGACTCTTGTAAAATCTTTTATTTAGCAATGCTATGGTTTTTTACTCTTTATGTTTCTATTCATTTCATTGTACTCGTAGTATGTCCTTTTTTTTTATTTTTAACATGTTTTTTATTTAAATGCAGGGGCTTCTCCGATTCAATATTTGGAATGAGTGTTGTTTACGCAGGACTTGTTATGTATGATGCACAGGTATAAATCAATGTATTCATTTACATTTGGTGACACCTATTTTTCTGTAATCTGTCTTTTCTATGGGTTCCTTGCTCCCACCTCCATTTGCCAATAGCCCTGTATGATTTTACAAAGTCAACCTAGTCTGTAACTTTGGGAAAGAGCTATGTGGATCACTGCTGCCAACACAAGAGAACGATACACATTGTTTCACTGTTCTGTTTTTCCGGGTGATGATTTTTTACTAAACAGCTTAGAATTAATGGCCCCTGATTTTTAAAATACATTTTCTTGTCAGGGAGTAAGGAGAGAAGTTGGAATTCATGCTAGAACACTAAACAGGCTGCTGATGGAGGACCAGATAAAGTCTGTAATGAAAGACAATGAAGAAATCAGAAATTCTGTACCAGATAAGTTATCAGCGACAAATTTAAAAGGCTCACGTCTCCTTGAAGAACTGAATACTTTAAGTAAAGAACAGACAAGTGCAACTCAATTACTCGGATCTAGGCTACTGAACAGTACAGCTGAGAGGGGGAAAGAATTAGAGAAAACTAATTCGAATGCAGCTCTGAAAGAATCAATTGGTCACACTGAGGTTGAAGTTATAGCAGGAGCACTATGGGGTTTCCTTGTAACCCTGACTGTTTATGCCATTATGTGATCATGGCTTGTTCAATATCTTTTATATTTATAGCATACAAAGTTCTTTCGGCGACCAGTCTAATACCAATGTCTCTTGATCTTGTTTTTCATAGATGTCGATCGTTAAATGTGTTGAAGTTGAACTGGATTAGCCGAAGTGAAACATGGTTCCTAGCAGAGTTGGTGAGCTCTGGCCAATTTTGTTAGGATAAAAATCTGGGCATGAATTATGCTGCTCTTGGTTGTTTTGCCAGGCATATAAATTTGCAAGGCTATGTTTCTGAGCAAACATGAAATGTTCACTAATATTGTGTTTTTCAAGAGATGCAATACGGAGTATTTTTCTTTCAAAGTTTGTAAAGATGTTCCAATAGTATAGTTAGGCAATTAAAATCTTCTATCTCATTTCCTTCTGTAGATGCTTGGTTATTCTATCCCCATAAGTTACCTATCCCCTGTTTTCTTTAATCAAACATGATTTGATACGGTAACCCAAACGTAAATTGACACCCATCAAACTAATATTGAACCAAATATGATCTGTCCAAAAACCAAAACTATTACAGAAAACAATCTTAGATTAGTAGAAGTGAGAAGCTGTGAAAAGTCGTACAGGCGAAACAAATCAGTCTTCCCTTCACAATCTAGGCTTGAATTAATGTTTTTGGGTGACTCCTAAAGTTTTAGAGTGACATGGAAAACAAATCAATGGATTGTTAAGTCTGTCATTGACACACCATCTCAAGAAAACACGTCCATGAACCCGGGGTACAAGATACTATCTTGAAACCATCTTTCAGAAACAAAACTAAACAAGTGGAGATTAAAGTTTGGCCTCATGGACAAACCCAAAACTTTTTCGTGAAACCAAGAGTAAGTTTGTCAGTTGTATCTATCTTCATTTACATTATAATATGATGCCTTCATTGCAAGTAGCTGAAACCTCAGATAAAATGTGATTCCCTAAAACCTATTAACATGTGTGTAGGCGTTAGAACGCTAATCTATCAATTCATGTTGAAAACAAAATGTTCACAAAAATCACAACCTATATGATAGGATCGAGAAAATATATCAGTTTATGAACTGTGAACTTCATAGCAGCTACTCTTTCTTTAGACATCAACGATCATTAGCAAGCCTCCTCACTTGTACCTTTTGTTCTTGAGCAAGTCCAAATACCCTCTAAGCCATAAAACTCTATCTAACATAAGCTTCCGGAGGTGGTTGCTCTGGAATCTGTAGAGAGGGAACTTAAATGGGTTATACACTTATACATGACAAATAGGATCATATGCACAAGAATCTGAAACCAAATGAATGACATTTCGTGCTCAAAACAGGTATGTGAACCAGCTTTCATATTGCAAGACACATAAAGTCAAGATTTCAAGGATTATTATAATTTGCCACAATAGTCTCTCCTCTGCAATTACTAATTAGCTACAAAGTATTACATTGGGTACCAAACCAAACAACTCATTAAATAATTGAGTACTACTAAGCTCCATCGTCTCTTATTTTTAGTAAAGACATCAGGAAATCCAATCATACACTGTTAGAATTTGAAAATAGCCCTGTTCTCTGCACCTGATTTTTGCTGAACTTAAATTATTTTTATGAACTTAATTTATTTTGGTTGAGCTCAACTTATTTTTATGAACTTAATTTATTTTGGTTGAGCTCAACTTTTTTTACTCAACTGAAATTATTTTCCTCAACTAAAATTATTTTTACTTAATATAATTTGAATAAGGTGAAGACAACATGCCTAGTTATTTCTATACATCCTGATGACTACTAAAGTTCTAATTCAAGTGAGGGGGTGGTTACTCTTCCTATGATCATATGAGCACTTCTCATATTTCACTGTATCCCGACGCTGCTCACAAAAGTCATTACACTACATTGAGAACTTTCTTGTAGCAGTGTTAACAAATTTACTACTTTGCACTTCACCATAAGGATACATTTGGCAGCTTATAAAATTACCGCGGAGAGGGGGGGGGTGGGGTGGGGGTTGTTGATTAGAAAAGCTATTATACCATAATATAAATATGTAAGTTCAACGAGCTGAAGAAATGGTGATAGAAGGTTTTACCTCTCCAAGCTTCCACTCCTGCTTCAACCAAATGCTTGCATCTACAGCTGAGATCTCTGGAGGATTGTTGTCTCTGAAAACAAGAAAATCATAATTAAAGCAGTTTCAATATGGTCACGGGTATATAATAAAATTTAAGGTTTAAACATGAAGGTGGGTGCAGACACAAGGTCATGTTCTGCCAAGAACGGTCAAAGTTAAAGTACAATAACATAAAGTTATCAATCAGCTCAAATACATCAGTTTACACATTAATTTTGTGATATGGAAAGATGCCAATAATCGATATGTTAACCTAAACTTACGTCGTTTGTTGAGATCCATTAGCAGCAACAAATCCATTGAAAATTGTAGTAGAATTGTTGACTGCAGGAGTCTGAGTATGAAGTGATACTGATGAAGTTGAAGGTAGTTGGCTGCCTTGACTATTTATACCACTATTACCAAAGCCTCCTGTGTTGGAAGTAATTGGAGCTCCACCTGTTTGCACTGGCACTTGAGGCCCTTGACTATTCATTCCAATATTATTGAAGCCTACAGCATGAGGAGTAAAGGTACTCCCCCCTGCTTGCGCAGGGAATAGACTGCCTTGACCTCTCATGGCACTGTTGCCAAAGAAGCCACTTGTGTTGGCAGCAAAACTTCCTCCTGGCTGTGCAGGAACTTGAGTGCCAAAAATACCTAGTGAAAATAGAGGTTAGTTAAACAATTTATCTCCATGTTGCGAGATGAGGAGATATATTCAGTACCTTGACTACTCATGCCACTATTGCCGAAGCCACTTTTGTTGGCAGCAGGCTGAATTCCACCTGGTTGTGCAGAAACTTGAGTGCTAAAGGGACCTGCAGATTGTAAAAGCTAGTTAAACAATTTATCTCCAAGTGGCAAGATGAGGAGATGAATGGAGACCCTACGGATGAAAGGATACCATGTATGGCACATGGACTCAGCTAAAGTATCCAATATATATGTATAAGACTATAAGCCTTGGACAAGGACATTTATCAGATAATGGTGCATTTTTTAACTTGAAGTGTCCAAGTATCTATTCTCAGCATCTCACGTAGGAATGTCTAATACTTAAATAGAAAAGAGAAAAATACAGGATAGCACATGCTAGATGCACTGGGACGTGAAAGGTGCACTTGCTAACCTGAAGGAGTGCTATTTTCTCCAAATGGGCCAGGGCCTTGGGACTGCCCAAAAGCACTGTTTGATGGAGTAGAAGGCCTGCAACAAGTGAATGCTCAACCATATCAGGTAAACTGAATCATTGTAGAATCATAAAAGTATAGCAGAAAATTCATTCAGAGCTCCAACATTTACAGATTAGATGGTAGTATAGTACTGATATGAAGCATTATGTTTGACATTAGCGTGTTTTTTGTAGCCCCTCTTAGGTTACTGTTTGTGTTCACAATTTTATGCTTGACACAACTTCCTAGAGCTACATGCTCAACATAGTGATACTTGCCTCACACCAAATGAAAGGTTAGGAGATGGACTCTGTTGATTTGAAGATGCAAATGAAGAAAAACCACTATTTTGAAGCGTCGGTGATGGTGAGCTGGCGTTAGCTGCTGGAAATAAACTTTGGTTCGGCTGAGCAGGAAGTGTATTCTTTGTATATGGATTTTTAAGCAAGTTTTCAAATTCGATCTTCTTAGAATTCACTAAACCCCTTTCTCTTTCAACCTGTGCAAGGAAGAGTTAAGTCATAGTAAAAAAATTTGAACAAACTTAAAGTAAGTATGTCACCCAGAACCCCAGTGTCAATATTCCAGAAAGGAAATAATAAAGCTACTAGTTCTAAACAAAAACAACAGTCCCTAGCTAACAATATGGCTTCAGCACAAACTAACTCAACAAAATTGGTCATGAAACAAAGATTTTCCATGCAGGTAAATTAGAGAAGACTTACAAAATATGAAACCAAAAAGAACTGATGAGATTACCAAACACAGAAATATTTTAGCAGGAAAGAGGAAACAAATTTAATACAAAAGGCTACAATCTTTCCCTGTTAAAAAATTATATTTTCTGTCAATTCACATATGTAGAACAAACCGCAGTTATCCTACTTGAAAAAACTAATGCATTCCCATGATTCCATGAATCCCTTTAGTATTAATAGCTAGAGACCCTACAGTTTTCATTACAGACAATACGGTTCATCAAAATACAAAACTTTATCCAGACTTCAGAAAAACTACTTTGTACAGCTATTTCACAGGTAAACACTTTGTTTTCCATTGAGCACCAATCAGCATAAACATAGAAAAATTACATTGAATGGGAATAATGTATCTTGCAAGCCAACTAGGAAGAAAATAATATGTGTAAGATAAATGATGATCATCAAAGAGACAAAGATCCTTAAGATCAATAAATTTCAACAGACAGCAAATTAATGCCTCATTTAGCAGTGAAGGCAAAAGGCTTACAATTGACTGCAAACTGGTGCCACGTTTAGCATCATCATATGCCACTGCCCGCAACTCTTCATAACTAATATCACCGGTAATATCACATGGAAAGCTGCAAAAAAAAGATAGTTAAAAAAAATCCTATCCTTGGAATATTAGTAATAAAATATAGAACCTGAGGAGCCATATACTTTTGAATTTTTAATACAGCTCGAAAAGGCACTAATGGATAACATTTTCACCTTCAGATATACTCCCAACATATTAAATACACTTTAGGAGTGGGTAAATAAGATAAAATTACATATTTAATATTTTTTCACTAGTTCGCTCTCACATACATCTTGCTATGCATAATATTTATGCAACTGCAATTATTTTCTAAAAAAAATAACTATAATTTAAATGGGAAAAAAAACAAACAAACAAAAAAATTATCAGTCTTTTCAAGATAGAGAGTGATAGGCACACACGCACGCATGTGCGCGGACACACGCCTTTAATATCATGCATTTTAGTTTTAAAAGAGAAGAGTAACCAAGGATCAATTTTAGGTCAGTGTGCTTAGCCGGAAAAGGGTTGTTGCAGCTTAACAAGACTTTTTGTGAAGAAAGACAAAACTAAACCTTTCTTAAGAAGGAGAAAACTTAACAGCATTAAAACACTAAACCCAACTTAATCTCACAAGTGCAATCAGGCAAGAACACTACTCGGTAAGATCAACTCCTTCGAAGTCTTTGTATTGCATACACGGCACCCCCTTCTTCGTTGAAACCCTCTAGGGAAGTGGGGTTGAACTGAAAATCTAAATGAATTTATCACTTTTAGTATTGATTGAGATGCTCAGAAAACCCTCCCAATAGCCCTTTTTGCTCTGATATCAAATTTGTCAACTTGGAGATTTATGCCAATAAAGGTAGCACAAGGAACCATCCAATCAGAGATTCATGAAACAGCCAAATTTTTGATAACGACTTATCAATTCATTAGAAAACTCATAGTAAACACTTTACCAGGAGACTCAACTACTGAAACTGTTATCAGAGTAATGAAAAATGCTTCCTTCCCAATAAACAAAGATATAAACAAACACAGGCTACGACAAACAGATGTGGTAAACAAAACCTATTATCTAAAATCACCAAAAAAAAGACTTACTATTTAAAATGTCCATAACATGTTAGCTTCCAAAGTGGACTCTCATTCTGAAAATCTTCAGCAATAAGACGCTTGCAAGAATCCGGATCTGTACACCTACAGATGCCAAATTACCACATCATAAGTAATGGACAACTTGAAAGAAGAAACTAGAAAATTGTTCCACTCATTCTCCAGACATGAAGAAAAGTTAAATTAAACTTACTTGTGACTAGCGGCCTGAGACTGATTCTGGGGCTGTTCTGAGCGAACCCATTTATTCTCAAAAGGCTGTGGAGTCACAAATTGAAATCAGTAAATAGCAAATGAATCTTATAATCAGTGGTCATAAAAGATTTTATGTATAAACAAAACTAAAAAAAAAAAAAAGCTCAGTTGACTGCAAGTAGCAGATCATTATGGACAATGGAGAAGCTACTCACTAAGAAAACACAGAGATTTCAGGTAAGTGGGGACAAGAACCTTATTTGAATTCGGTTGCCCAAATCCCCCTGAAGAACCACCGGTTGGACCACCATTTTGGACACCAAAACCAAAGGGATTGGGCTTCTGCTGCTGGAAAGTTGTGGCAGTCTGTGAACCAAACCCAAAAGCATTGGATTTTGGCTGTTGCTGAGTGGCGTGAGAGAATTTACATTTATCACCAAAACGACAGCTGAATGAAATATGAAAATTGTGATGATCAGAATACCAAAATAAGCCAGCTTTTTTTTCCAAGCAAACGCAAATATTACACATTTCTTTTGATTTGGTAAGGTTGCATACAGCTCCTTTTTTTTTACAATATTAACTCCCACTTTCACCATTTCACGAATATTATTGTACACTGATTTCCCATATTCAAGTTAAATTCCAATTAAAATTATGGAAAAATTATATCAGGTTAGTTCCACTTTTTACAAACACTTGATCAGATTATATATATATATATATATATATATATATATATATATATAGGGGGGAAAGCTTTCGTGAGAATACTTCCTTTATGTGAGAACACTCTTTATGTTCTAAATTTTTACTCGTATATTCTAAATTTTAAATTTGATGTTCTAAATTTTTACTCAAGTGTTCTAAATTAAATCAGAAGCTCTAAATTAGTACTCACATGTTCTAAACCATAAATTAGTTAAGTAGATGTTATAAATTTTAAATGACTTGTTCCAAAATTTTAACTTAGATGTTCTAAATTTTAAAACGTGTGCTCTAAGGTTTTTAATCATATGTTTTAGATTTTAAAGCATATGTTCTAAATTTTTACTTATATTTACTATATTTTATACTAGGTGTTCTAAATTTTTATTCACATGTTATAAATCTTAAATTAGATGTTCTAATTTTTACTCATTATTCAAAATTTCAAAAAGCAGATTTTCTAAATATTTACTCACATGTTCTAAATTAATACTCACACACTAAATTAAAACTCATATGTTCTAAATTTTAATTTGAGTCACATGTTCTCAATTTTTCCTCGTATGTTTTAAATTTTTACTCACAAGTTCTAAATTTTAGATCAATTCTCATATAAGTATGGATTCTCACATATGGACCTTTTCTCACAGGATCCCTCCCCTATATATATATATATATATATATATATATATATATATATATATATATATATATATATATATATTAAATTTCCACTTAAAGACACTTCATAAGTCCTTCCAATGCAAATTTAATGGTGCAAAAATAAGCAAAATTAATAAATCACTTTTTCCTTCTCAACAAAATAAAGACATTAATTCAAAGGGAAACCAAGGGAATGTGTTACTGAATGGACTTGGGGGAAGAAATCAATTCAAAGGTAGTAGAAGACAAAATTAATTGATGTTAGATAGGCCTCTTGCAGCCCTTGTTCTTGTATATATAAGGGAATGTATTGAAATGAGATAATCAAGCTATTAGACTTATGTTTTTGAGAGTTGTAACCTCAAGTTAATAGCTAGGACACTAGTAGCCTCAAGCTACTAAATCAATCAAACTTGCTTCTTGTTTATTCTTGTTAGCCACTGAAAATTCTATTCGAGTAATGTAGCGAGTGTTGAGTCTATTACACAAGGATTCGTTGCAACAAATATGAAACTCCAATAGAAGGCAAATGTAGCAATATTACAAGAAGGGAAGACAATGTTCAACTTTGCAGCATTGTGGATCAACAGTTCATCTCCATACAGATCAAAGAAACAATCACCTTTATACAGCTTTTGCATCATTAATATCGCTAATACCCAGCATAAATAAGAAAAACTTCTGGGATGGTAAGATGTTAGTGCATCCCACCAAAAAGAGCATACAAAATTCTAAGCTCTTATTCATCTCTATATTTCCTCTTCCTTAGTGGGACATAAGGGGGGTATAACTAATACAGACGCAAGCCTTAAACTGAGCTTACGATAGTTTATGAGCTGAAATAGGCCAACTTGCCTTTAATTAGTGAGCACATAAATTTTTCAAATAAATTTCTAGCTGTGACTAGGAAAGAATAAAGAAATTCTTTCATTATTTACTGCAAATTATTACTTTTCCTAGTAAACTTTATTATTTAATTATTTATTGTTATGAAGTTACATTTTTCTAGAGAGTTCTATATTTGAATTTCAATTACCATTAGTATCTCGGGAAGTATCTAGTGAAAACTATTTTACAAGTCAAAAGAAAATGATGTGGTCGATTCTTAAAAAGAAAAGAGTAATGAGCTGTGACATAAAAATAAAAAACAAATTTATAATATAAACAAAACCCCAAGGAGGCAAACATAAGATGGATCAATCAACTCACTTCTTCACTTTATTCCCAAACTAGACACTTTCTTCTTTGGAAAATGCAATCAAAACTGCACAATGACTTGCACATACCAAAAAAATCTAGAATATGCATTCCTTTGCTGTAAATAATGAAAGAATTCCTTTATTTAATCAACTAATATGGTGAATTGAAACAAAATTTACATAATCAGCACTTTATCCAACCGAATTAAATCGAGGTGAGAACTTTATGAAACTTTCTTTCTCATTACTTGCATTCCTTCGTACTAAATACATTTACCAAAATCATAATCAGAACATTACTTTATTACTTCCTTTCATTTTTTTTTTCCATCCTAATTGTAGTAAGTTACATTTGGAACATTCGAAAAACCTATTTCAGTCTCAAGAACTGCTAAATTATACTCCCTGCGTCCCCAAAAATTCGACCCTTATGGCCTAATTTTAGTCCCAAAATGTTCATCCCATTTGCATTTTAATACCCTTTAATTTGCAATAATATTTGTGCAAAATTAGCTTCCCCATGCAAATTTTGCTTTTTCTATATGCTTTTATTACTTTCTCTCTCTAATTTTTTGCAATTCCAATGTAAATTTCTCTTTTCAATGTACTTTTCTTAGTTTCCCCATACACTCTTACACTTTCAATTTAACTTCTTAATACCCGCGAAATCAACTCAAAAGGGTCGTTCTTTCGGGGACGGAGGTAGTACAACAAAACTCATCATCTTAGCTCAAATAGCACTTCTTCCCAAAAGAACCTTCGCCACCATTCTGGGTAGTGGGTATTCTCCAAATTCTTCCTTATACCAATGCAAATTAACAACAAATTAACTATTTTGGATTTCTGGGTATTATCCAAATTCTTCCTTATACCAATGATGTATTTATCATTCTTCCACTCGAGTTTTTAAGTATGTAAAAATTCAATTCTCTTCCAAAAAAATGTCAAATTGAGGAGCAAAAACTCCCAAATTCCAACCCACCAAAACCCACAAACAAAAAATTGGAAAAACACAAAATTACAGAACAATAATGAAATCAAAGGACACCCATAATAATTTGTATAAAAAAAATTACAGAGAAAATTGTAGGAAAATAAAGAAGGAAGAAAATGTAGCTTACCTCCCACGCAGAAAATTTCTGCAAGGTTCTTTCTTAATGGGCATATTTGATCTGGGGAACACTTGTTTTATTGCAACACTGGACAGAAAGACTGTTTGAAATGTTCAACGTTGGAACTTTATTGTTTGTCTTAAATACTCCAAATTTGATCGAGGTTTTGCTAGGAGGTTTTGCAAATTAGCGTTTTACTCACACAATCTAATAAATAAGTATATTTCAACCAAAAAAAAAAAAGTTAATGTTATATGCAGCATTTTTTAATATACTCAATAACTCCGATGGTGTATAATTAATGTATATTCGTTTCACTTTTAGCTTCTTATATCCAAAAAAAAATTAAAATACAAAAGGAAATGGTTCAGTGTATGGTTTTAAAAAATACACTGTGTAATAGAGGTGATCAATATCGATTCGGCCCGAAAATAGGGTGAGTTAGGACAAGCCTAAAAACGCACTTTTAGTTAAAAACCCGAATTCGACCTGAAAAATACATTGTGTAATAGAGGTGATCAACATCGACACGACAAAGGCCAACGTTGTAATAAATATTTTATGATTTTATATAATATATTTTTAAAAAATAGTTAATTTTAATGATTAAATAGCTTTTCTAATCTACATCTTTTTTTATTCTATAGTTCGAAAAGTTTTAAAACCCTATTTTAATATAAATAGAACTCTACGATTTTAAGCGTATATAAACTATTTTAACCCTATTAAGTTTTTATACATAAATTGCAGCCGTATAATATCAAATTTGCTTCTCTCTTAGTTTTGCTTTTGCGTATAAACCAAAATAAGGGATACTAATTCTTCATCAATTATTCCCCACCTTAGCTTTTTCCAACATGAATTTTGCAATTCAAGCAAAGTCAACAATACTTTATTATTTTGTTCGTGAGTATTGTAAAATTGGAGTAAACATTCTCAGATCACTTGATTCTTCAGTAATTACGTTACAAGGTAATCACACAAGTTTATTTTTTCTTGGAACTAACTATGTTATAATTCGTATTATTATGCATAAGTTTCACAATTGTTTATATGATCAAGTTTCATATATATATTGGTTAATATGTCGTGATATATACTTTAATTGTTGTACTATTGATTGTGTTCTTATGCTAGGGTTTTTAATGTTGTTGCTTTATGGAGTATCTTTTATTAAGGTTTTAGGGTTATTAGTATTGTTTTTGGGTTGTGAATTAAGTATAATTGGGTATTAGTTTTATTTCCCTATATAAGAGTTGAGATATACTATGATTTAATCGAGTTCGAATGGTTATGTTATTTGGGAACCCGTGCCATTATTGAGATATTGATTATGAGTCTGTAAATGAATATTTGATCAAGTATGAGATCAAAAGGGTTGAGAATTATTATTTTATTCTTGGTTTGAGGCTGAGCATTATATACCTTAGTCCTTGGCATGTTGGTAAGGAGATGATAATTATAAATTAAGAATGAGATACAATCTTTATTTATATTTTTCTATGGTCCCCTATAGTGGGATTTGATCCATATGTGGTCTGGTTCAAGGTGTTTTTCTGGTTATTGAGAGTATTCAAGTTTTTATACTTGTTGGTTTATTTATTCGAATTACTCATGTCCAAGGCTAGGTATAAAACAAAGAGCGTGGCACACTTATGGGATTGATAAGTTGATTGAGAAAAGGATCGTATTATTATTCGAGATTGAGTTTGATAAAGGTTATTTCCAGAGTACAATGTGTAATGTAGTTTTGAACTACATTATTTAATTGAGCTAGTAATGTTAATTATTCTTTGTATTCTGATATGTGGTGATTACTCGGCTTTTTGTTGACGTGTGTGTTGTTTTTGTTGTGCTACTTGTGTTTGTGGCCGTGTCTTTTTCCTATGGTGGCCCTGCGACGATTTATTTTGGAATTTGTCCTTAATGGTGAGCAGTCAAGATTGTTTAAGCAGGTTGATCAAGTGATCGTAGCTAAAGGAGCTCAAGTGTTCGATTAGTATGCTATAACGAGTTTGTAAAGTTGTATAAATAGCTCACCTAGTTTATTGGGTTGTAATTACTGGGATTTTGTTAGCCTTAGCACTTGACAAGTTGTAGAGTGTGGCGGTAATACCTCCAATTTAGGTGTATGCTTCAGCAATTTTATTCAAAGATTGTTTATTTTTCCTTTATATATTATTTATTATTAGCTAGTAAATCGGGGGTGTTACAAACGCGCCGCGACGGGAAAGTTCTAATCCAGTTCAGACTTCTGATCTTTTTCAATCGTTCGACTCTCTTTTTTCCTTATAAATAGAGGTCGTTTTCCCCGATTTCAGATCATCAACAATCAATAACAATCACCAACAATCCTTATCAACAATAAAAAACAATCACCTACAACTATCAACAATTACTAACAATCATCGATCATCATCTACACATAAATTCCTAAATTCCTATGTTCTTAGCATTAACCTAAACACATCCTTGATACATCCCAATCATCCACCATACTCCTTTTGCGTGATTCAAATACTTCAAACCATACTCGACGTTGTCTTCGACCTCGACGTGAAAGGTTGATATTTCTGAGGGTTTGGTCCCAAATCTATATTTTTTATTCTTAATTAATTTAGTTTATTATTTAGTTTATTGATTTTTCTTGAAGTTTAATGACGTGTGTATTATTTTATAGCAAGAAGGTCGAAGCATCAAAATAAGTAATTTAATTACTTTCTTGAATAGAAATCAAGTTTAGGATAAGGTATTGATTTTGTTATTAGTAATATGCTAGGATTGTTATTGTTTTGTTTAGTATCATGCCTAGGATCTTACTACTAACGATGTTCTTATGATGATGATTGCGATGTTTTTATGATGATTATTATGTTAATTATATGTTGCTTGATTAACAATGATTTATTGTTATTGCTTGATCACGCCCCTTTTTTGCAGGTTTAAAAGGAATTTGTAATTGAAATCACACCTAATAAGATAATTGATGATTGAATTTAGGTTTAACATGATTTTAATTCAAGTGATCACCAATATTAGATTTAATTGTGCATTAATAATCAACCAACGTAGATTAAACAGGTTTAGGGCTAATTTGATGTATGTATGTTGATCGAAAAGCGCGCATGAATATCAATAAGAATCAAGTAGAGACCTATTTAGGGCTGGTTTGACCTCTTTAAGGTTAAGTTCGTACCATCATCCCCGAACATCTAGTCATGGTTCCACACCACTATGGAGTTAACAATCTCCGTGATTGTGTATGGGATGTAACCTTCACAATCGTGAACGGTTTACAAGTTCCTAAAACTTGTTGGCGACTCTTTTTCTCTAGCTTCTTTCTTAGGATCGCCGCCATGCTTAAAAACATGACCTACATGTAGGGCGATGTAACACCCCCAAATTACTCTTCAATAATAATAATCGTAATGCAACTTTAGGGAGTACCTTGGGGATATTACCGCCACGTGATTACATAAGGCTTAATAGAGACTTGCAGCGGAAGAAAAGTACTTATCATTTCAAAATATTTCTGAAGTAACTAAAACACTGATACTATGTTTACTAAATTGACTAGGTGATCACCGCTCATCGCCCCAATGCAGCACTTAGTTCGCGTTGCCTATTCGCCATCACCTATCTACTCACATCATTAATGATAAGTAGGGCCAAGCCAAAAACAAAAGAGAAATACGTATTAGTCAAAATGCTAAGTACATACAATGCTAGACATGTAAAATCAATTTAGTTAATTAAACATGCTTTCGAAAAATATGAGTTTAATAAATCATAATTTATTCAAACCACTCATGAATAGAAATTCTCATATTAAAACGTATCAATTTCTGCAATTGACATCTTTCAAGATACTTCCGAATAGAATAGAATATGGGTTCAATCCTTGTAAATCATTTTTCCACCTAAGTGTGCACACCCCCCAAGCTAGTAACTTCTTACATATTGCTATCAAGGGGGAAATACTAGGTCATACATAGCCCATTGTCTTCAATTTTATCTCCGCATAGTGGGAGTCATAAATCCAGAGATCCAATAAATAAATCCGATAGATAATTATAAACTCTCAATATCCCATACCCGGGATAATTTAAACGGTAAAACTTCCTTTTTAAACATCTTGAATATCAATACAAATTTATAATCAACCATATGAAATATTTAAACATTTAAGATCAAACAATTAAAACATGCTTTACCGAAATATATTTCATAATCATTCAAATATGGTTCGAAATCACTTAACATGTAAATCGCATTGCATATAAAAGTCACTTTATAAAAGATTTAGCCACGTGTACGTACCTCGATCTTTGCACACAAGTACGGAATTCCTAATTACAAACTCTAAATTTCTCCTACAATAATAAATAACTTTTATTCAAGAACTCTCCAAACATTAAACTCAAGGATGTAAAATACTGACTTTAACTAGTTGTGCATGAACAATTTATTATTTTAACCCCTTTATAAATTTAATATTTGCTTTTATAAACTAATATTTAATAATAATAACAATAATAATAATAATATTAAAAGGTGGTAGTAATAATACATATGTAGGTAATAATAATATTATTAAAAGGTAGTAGTAATAATACGTAAGTAGGAGTAGTATGTAAGTAGTACAAGTAATAACAATAATAATCAAAATAATAATAGAGTAGTTCAAAAAAAAAACAAAATGTAGAAATGTGAAGTACAATTCTACGAAGTATTACATTAGGCCATATTAGATGAAAAGTTCAACTAGCTAGCTTACTCTTTATTAACTATCAAAGCTAGAACAAGGACCAATTTGGTCTCTTAGTTGAAGCAGGGGTACGAAAGAAAGAACAAGGGAGGAAGGAGGGGGCCGCCGTGGATGACGGCTAGGCAGCAGGCGGCGGAGGGTCGCTGGCCAGGTGATAGGTGGCTGGTGGTGCACGGCCAGGCGATGGTGGCGTGCGACTGGTGGTGGTTCGGAGGAGAGAGAAGCTATTAGGAGAAAGAAAGTGAGAAGAGGAACTTAGAGAAGGAAAATGGGGTGAAGTAGTGCTATGTTACCATAGCTATTTATAGTGATAATTTTGGTACTATTTCATCCATCAATAACTATATACTAAAAGACACACCAGCAATGACACGTGTCATCTCCTGGTGTGTCCCTTAGGTTTTTTTTTTTTATTATTATTATTATTATTATTGAATATCTATATAGGAAAGAAATATTATCCATAAATAAAAATTTAGAAAGATTTAGTATATCCTTCCAAATATATATTGATACCATAAACATGAATATTCTAATATCTTATCTTGTGATTTTGAAGCAATATATAGCATTTGAAATGGTAATAATTCCAAATAGAAACTATTTTATTTAATTGCAACTAAATAACGTTACCTGCTTCCCATTTTCTCCACTAACTATCTTTATATATTCGATTA